TGAGTTATGGTGTTGAAGTGGTTGCAGGCTCCTCGACCACACAGAAGTGGTTGCGGTGGGCGCAGGGCTCTCACGACAAAATCCCAACAACTCCGACTGGAAGATACCAGGACCCTCCGACCCGACGGTGCCCGCTTTCTGGAAGCCTAGGCTGGTAGTGCGGGGTCCCAGGACACCCTGACAGGATGGTCCTCATGACATATATATTGTTCCATTTTTCGGCCAACCACCCGAATCTTGGCAAATCTGGAAAACAGGTCCTAGACTATCCATTGGGACTGGCATATTATTATGCCTTATTATGCCTACAACCATGCCGGAGCGGGTCAACCCTGGCATGATCGGTTCGTCTAGGAGGCATGGATCATCTGTGGCCCTCAGGGTACTTCTACGAGGTCTAAAAGGGAGATCGCATCACCAGCTCGGTGCATTTTTGTCGGTGCTTTTGCTTCAGCTCAGCTGGGCGCTTGTTTGGTGGTTCTGTTGTGTTTTGAGTTTTGAGGGTTTGGAGCAAGTGCAGAGTTGTGCCTGGCCTGGGCGTTCAGTGCCTGGGCTGGGAACGGGCTTGAACAGGCGGGAAAATCGAAGCCTGCACAGCCTCCGGCCTGCAGCACTGCCGCGCAGCACTTCTCTCATGACACCTCAGAGTACGAGATAGCTTCGCGTCTCGGTTTTTTCGAGGATTTCTGGTCTTGTCTTGCAAGTCTTGCAGGGGGAAGGGATGTGAGGGAGGAAGGGATATGACCATAAGACCATAACATTGATGGAGCCAAAGAGGCGAAACTGCACTTTTGCCGCTGACCTCCGAAAATGGTTTGCCACTGGCGAACGGTCTGGTGAAGGCACTGACCACCATGTGCTCCAGATGAATCAAGCACTAGTTCAACATCTAAGAAGTGATGAGTTAGGACTAGCTAGGACTTCTTCAATGCTTCCCACACATCCACATCTCTTGGTCTTTTTCCGCACAAACTGGAAGATTGGGCCTTTTGTTCATGTTTCTTCTTGGTCACCAGGCCCTCCCTGTTGGACCACCCACAGTTCTAAATCTTGCGCCGCTTTGTGGGCGACATCACCGTGAGCGGTCTCATGCAGTTCGACATCGTCGGTGGAGCGGAACCGCTCAGAAATGCGAGTTTCTGGAGCTCACTGCTGGCATCAAGGCCACACCCACCAAACCAAACCGTGATGTGAACTCTTGAATGATCACACACACCCATTTGTTAGGATGGCAACAACCATGGCAAAACCGTTTCGGCTGAGACTTTCAGTCAGGCTCCCCGCGCATGATGGACCTTTGGGCGCACTGAAACATCGAGCCATGAGACGCATGCCGTACATGGTATGCTATACCTGGATCTTTGAAGCACCCGGTGACTTGCCGCAGCCTTTCGCAGAAGGCCGTGACCCGGTGTCTGGAACTCGGGGTGTGACGAGACATCGGCAAAAGCCTTGTGGTCGTGAGGTGAGAAACCCAACAAAAGCAACCGGCATTCTGAGGCGTTTCTTACATGGACCGTGACAAATAGACCCTTAGTACAACTAGTGGTTTTCAGGGTCCAAGGTAACTGGATCTTCCAACGGCATGCAAATGTTCTGACCATTCTTCATCTATGGAAGCCAGCTGCTGCCCGCAGGTCATTGCTGCATGTCGTTGGAGGATCCCGCTATAGACCTCAAAGAAATCTGTCAAAAACGACCCAACATCTAGACTCAACCTGAGGTGCCCTCTCTGTTCTGAGACCAAAATACTTCAGAACTTTGTTCTTGGTTGAGAAATGGGCTTCGGCTGCCACTTGGTGATCCCACCCCCACCCCCTGGCATCCATGAAAACTGAGCGGGGGCATCGCTCGTTTGAGCACCGAGGTCTGTCGCAGCGAATTTCGGAAAATAACAAAACCCACCTGCCAGGCCCATCAGAGTTATCTTTACGCCGGTTCAAAGGATCTATACACCAGTGTATATATATATATACATGTATATTATGATATCTACCCTGAGAAGCTAAAGACTTACTATAAAAAGGAAAGGGTCTGACGAGATTCGGGGAGATGAGATTTGGAATTTTCTGAATCCTTCGGAAAGGTTCATGTTGACTCTTAGTAATTTCCGAAAATGTAATTGACCCCATGAAGGGGTTTCAGAATCCAAACGAGGCTATATAGTATGTCATGGACTTCCTATTATCTTGAAACACTGAACCCTCAATGGTCAGAAATTGTTCTTGTTGCTTTAAAGAAACAAAGCCTGAACAAAAAATGAACGAATCATGTTGGAAAACCACGCCGATCTCTGCAAAAATTGGTGAAAAGGACCAATCTTTTTTGCTTCCACACCTTCAAAGTTTCACCCTGAGTCAAAGAAACGTGGTGGTATGCTGAACACGGACTCAAGTTCCAGGTTTCCGGATTCTGGTGAACTTTCGAAAACTCTTGGCCACCACAGTAAAGCACCCTGGCTTTTGAAGGGTGGTAGACATGTGGAAGATATTTCGTGAATGAACAAATACAAACATGATTTTGAGATAGAGGCGTGCCCTCACCTCTATTCTTAATCAATTGAAAAAACACACGTCGCCGAATGGGCCAGGCTCACTGTGGTACGGGTGACCACGTGCTGCAGTTTTACGCCTCGCGAGACACGAAGGCAATTTGGGGAAACAGCTTAATTAGTACATCTTATATTTTGTACTAACTTTCCTATATATGAGGCAATGATGTGATAGATTATAGTCAGATAGATTCTGTCATAAACATCACATACCAGCACCCTCCAACAGGTGTTTCCTGGTGACAACAAATGCCCAGAAACCACCCTTTAGGGGTCTCCAAACAGCCGAACCGTCCTGGTATATTGATCAATCATAATATGCATTCCACAGTAACAGGAATTGCGCAGGAACACGACCGATATCAACAAGCTATGCCAGGATGGTACCAAGAGTTTGGGGTTACTTCTCGGAGGCGTCCAGAATCTCGGAGGCATACTTTCGGGCCTAAAAAACAAAAACACTCTTCGGTGAGGCAATTCCAAACACTCTTCGTGCCATCGGCTCCAAACCCGAAGGATCCAAACTAAATGAATGACAAGTCTCACAAAGGTGTTTGGAGTGGGTTTGGACGAGGTACTTGGCACAAGGTGTTTGGGAAGGTTTTGGAGGGTCTAATATGCTTGAAGACCTATACATATGTGGAAGCAAACCCATCCCTCCAATCTCAAAGCTTCCCACTCTGCTCCAACTCTCCATGCCCGACACCCACGCGCTTTTCCCCGTGCTTTTCGGCTGAATGATCGTTGCTTCGGTCGCGCCTTGCGGCGGTTCAGCTTGGGGATGATCCGCCAGAGCTCCGCATTCGAGGCGGTGGAGGAATCATCGGCGCTCGCCGCCATGATGAGGCCCTGGTTGGGGCCCAACAGGCCTTAGATTTCACACCAGACACCCTCGGTGTCACCGGTGGGTTTTTACCGTTCGATGCCTGACCCGTACCGTGGCACCGGCGGTCCGGTCTTCTCTTCCGAACGAGTCCTGGAGACCACATGGCTCAGCTAGTTCGTCTAGGCTTCCAACTCCATTCGTTGATCGAATCCCGAAGCACCGTTCGTTTTACTGTATGTAGTATACTATGTGTTTTAGTATCTAAGCACGACCAAAACCAGGTAATTCAATGGTCAAGTCAATTCCCATCTTTTTAAGGATTGAACGGACTAAAGCAGGGTGATTCTCAGGCTTGGGGAACACCTGGTGGAAGCCACGCCGACCTCTGAGACCCCACCAGGGTCCCGCGACCCCCCTGGCGGCGGGGGACCCGCGGTGTCGGTTTGAGCCGCTCCTAGGGCACGGACACATGGCAGGCGGACCTTCTCCGGGGTCACCCGAACCAAAGCCTTTCCATTGGTTCGGGCCCGGATTCTTCGGGTTGAAAGCGAGTTTTCGGTGCGAGGCCGAGACGAAGTACAAATGGTCTGACGAGTTCGGGTACCTGCCTGGAACTCTAAACAACCAGAAAGAAATGGATGTTTCCCCAAACATGTAAAGGATTTCAATTGCCTCATATTGGAACAACCATTTGTTTCTGGTTGTTTGGGGTTCCAGGTGATTGAAAGGGAACTTCCGTTACATCCTTCACAAGGGCAAAAGATCGTCTTCCCTCGACTTCCAGGGTTTGAATTTGGCAGTCCGACGGTCCTGTCTTCCACTTTCCCACGCTTCCAACCCGTTCGCTGACACCGTTCGCACACGTGGCGCGCCAAGTAACAAAGGCCTTGTGCCCAGCGTCTGCCAGTGGGCAAAAACCAACGTCCCACCTGCAAGCAGATCTCTGAAACTGGTCCACCCGAACGCGCATGGATCCTCCTATCCCAGACCATCCACGTATATGGCATGTTTACCTACATTGGGGTGCGTTCAGGGGTCACTGTATGTAAATACTATATGCCATACATGGATGGTCTGGGATATGGAGACATTCGGACCCGAATCCGGACTGGAGGGGTCTGGGGTTCTCACCGATCCCAGCTTTTGAAAGGACCAGGTTCCAGGGCTGTTTGTTCAACGGAGCCGTCTGGTCCAGAATGAAGGACACACCAACGAGTTAACCACAACACACGCAAAGGCGCAGATCCTTACAGCAGCACACGCCTTGGGAATCCAGGGACGATTCTTGGTCGTTAGGTAATCCCAGGGCGTTCCTGCATGGGAGATTAGTTTGTTTGACCATCTTTTGGGGAGCTGAACTCTTGGCAACATGATATTTGCAGAACAAAAAGACGGAGACTCTGCGTGTGTATCCTAGCCTAGGCGAACAATCTTGGTTGGTTGCATCTGTAGTTTTGCTGATTCTTGTCGATTCGGACGTAGATTTGCAAGTTGTTTCCCGATTCGCTGAGTCTTCGATCTCTGGCAAGAGGACACATACTGGTAAATATGAAAATGCCTGCTATCCAAAGTTTGCAATGCACAAATACACCAAATTTCTCGTGGAGACAGAAGCATTCTACTCTATCTCCCTTCGTCCATGAACTCTGAGACCTCCAAAACAGACATGATCCTCTTCTCCCAAGGATTGAACGGCCCAAAGACAGACATCGAACGGCACAGTTGGAAGATCCCTCCTCTCCCTTCTCTCCCTTCTCTCCTCCCTCTCCCTTCTCTCCTCCCCGTCTCGGCCTGCCCCACGGCGACGTCCCACGCACGGATCTCGGTGGAGCCCTCGGTGGTCGAGACCATGAGCCACAAGACGCCTCCGTTTGCACCGGAGGCGGACCGAAGCCAGACCGAGACCGGGCAGATGGTGACGAAAGAGGAACCGCAGCTGGATGGACCACCGATTTAAAGGGTTTGACCGAAGCCACCGGTGTTTCACTAAGGTATTTACACTACAACGACAGGTCAATTGTTCTTTTAAAGGTCTTGGAAGGCTAGGGTAAAAACATGGGCATGTTCGTCTCCATTGCGCTTCGTCTCCATCGAGCGTCATGGCAAGTGTTCAAAGCAAAGCTAAGAGTTCACCCAATTCTCTTGAAAAGGACTGGAACATGTAGATCTTCTGAGTGTTATCACAGCCCCTCTTGGACAGCTGACTTTGAGCCATTTGACCCACAATCCTGCATCTGTTCTTCCAACATCGATGGTTGGATATCAGAGTCAAAGGAGGGTCAGGGACATAACATTGAAACAACAAACTGACAGAAATTGGGTACGGTACCAGTGCCTGTGCTCTAAAAAGGGTTGAATCAATGATGGGTCATGTCCTATTTTCGTACTTGAAGTCGGGTCCAGGTACCTTGGAAAATGGGATACACTTCCTGGAATCATCATAGTTACGTGGAGTGAACACCACCTACTTTTTAGGTATTTGGACATGTAATTGCACTATGGTCGTGATGATTCCAGCGAAACTATATGACCCTCTACGGCCAGGTATACGTCGGCAGGTACCAAACAGTTCGACTATCCCGGCCACCTTCAACCGCCGGTTCTCCCGGCCCACCTTCCGACCAAACACCCGACCCAACACATGGTCGATCTACCTCCACCTCCCAATAGGTGAAAAGGCGGCGGAGGCCCCAACGGCCCAAAGAGAGAGCAGGGCCAGAGAGCGGCCCCTCGGGCGCTCGTTGGGCACCTTCGTAGATGTCTCGTTGCACCCCAATGATCTTTTCTCTTTGCCTCGCATCGTCCCAGGTTTTGCAGGTGACAGGGGGGGCCGTAACAGGGGGGTGACAGGGGGGATCTTTTGAAGCGAAGATGGGCTGGCTTTCTTCAGTTCGACCAGTAAAAAGGAATGGTTCACCTGGTTTTGTACTCTAAAATCAAGCGTAAAGCAATGATGTTTCGGTTGAAGCCTATCAATGGTGCGAGGATGGAATTTGCAGAATCCGAGGGAAAATGAAGCCTTCGGTGACTATTGGAAAGAGGTGACAGGTGGACCCTGGTCAAACAAAGGTTTGTGGTTTGGGATATACCAGCACCACCCGGGTGGTATTTGGATGGAACCCCCTAGCCAGGGGGGTCTATAAACCACCCTTTTGGGTGGTGCTGGCGCTGGTCAAGGCTCAATCAATGGCGGGCCAGGAATCCTAGGGCTTCTCATGCAAGAATAGGTCCCAGGCACGACCTGTCTGGGACTAGAAGATCTGCCTGCGACCCCAAGTCAACGGCCCCTGGCCTGATCGGTAGTCACGTGTGGCCCAGGGGGGGTGGCGAAAGCTAGGGAAAGAAACAACGCTGGGGCTCTTTTGGCAGCAAACGCCTGGCCGGGAACCGCAACATGTCAGGGCCGAGGGCAAAGGACAGGCAACACACAACCACCCCAGCAACAGCAGCAGCAGCAGCAGCAGCCACAACAACAATAACCGTAACCAGCAGCGGCAGCGGCAGCAGCAGCAAGCAGCAGCTACCAAGCAGCAGGTACCAAGCAGCAGCAGCAGCAGCAGTAGTGGCGGCGGCAGGCGGCAACAACAACCAGCCACCCGCAGGCAGCCAGCAGCCAGCAGCAGTAGCAAACCACCAAGCAGCAGCCGCAGCAGCAGCAGCAGCAAACCACCAAGCAGCAGCAGCAGCAGCAGCATCAAACCACCAAGCAGCAGCCGCAGCAGCAGCAGCAGCAAACCACCAAGCAGCAGCAGCAGCAGCAGCAACAGCAGCAAAAGAGCAGCAACAAAGATACATAGAAACAGGAGCAGGAGCACCGACAAAGAAGCAGCAACAGCACGTTGGGAACTGAGAAACGGTCAGGGGGGCAGGGGGGAAGGGTGGAGTTGAACCCGCGAGGGGGGGGTATACTCCTGATATATCAGGTGTTAGCACTCAGGTCCTGGGTTCCCACCCTCCTTGCTAAAGCAAGACAGACTCCAGCTAGCTACAGCTAGCTTTCGTGATATGCCATGCATAGATGGTGTCGTGTCTGGGTATGAAATCTGTCAAGAGCGACATGTATCACTGGGCGCTCAAGAGGGCCTCCTTCTGCGCAAACATATCCCTGCTGTGCTTTTTAGACCTAGACCCTCCAATTGGTGCCCTTGATTTTTTCTATGACATGACCCGAACCTATGGTTACAACTGGAGGTTTGTAGATTAAATCTTGTGTTTCCACGGTCTTCATGGCTCAAAAGACACGCCCCAGTATTCCTGGCCCACCGGTATTATTTTCATGTTTCTTACCGAACAACCATTAAAGCACTAGAGATAGGTAAGGGGTGTCAAGAACTAAGTCAAATTTACTATCTGTAACAAATACTTTTGCTGCACGAAGCCAAAAGCTTGCCAACTGGCAAGTCTCACAGGCCCATCGAAACAAACCAAGCAGATGTCCGAACTACCATATTATTGCTTTGCTAAGGATACATGAAAACCAACAGGTCGATTCCATGTCTTCCATGGTCTTCTCGTTCTCGTTCTCCAGGGCACAGCTTCACTGCTCCCGTGTGAGAGTCCACCAACTTCATGATTGACCTGTGCGGCCACGGCCCATGCTGTGCTAAAAAAGCCAGTCAGAGATCGTGAAGGGGAACCGGAAAATGATCTATTGTTTAGGGATTCTCCTCTTCTTGGAAAAAGAACAAAAATAACACTATCCGGAATCATTCATTTCGGGAAGATCGAAGTCGCCCTAAACATTGCCCCTAAGCTAAGCAAAACCAGGCCTCTTTTTTTTTGAGCTAAGGGCAAGGAAACTTGGGATCCTGGATGTGTACTAGTTACTAGAGAACCACCACTAACAACTGGATCTTCAACGATTTGACAGGAGGGTCTGGCTGGCTGGTGAGTCACCTCAGCTCTGTCAACGCGGTGATGTTCGTGTTCCTCCGCTTCGGGAGAATCCAAAGAAGAACTTGGTCCCTTCGACGATTTGTTTAAAAGGGAACAGGCGGTTTAGTAGTGTAGAATCCGTAATAATGGTGGTCTAGTGACCATTGTTTTTCCTGGTGGTTGGAAGCCTACTTTACAGTGTGAGGAAAGAAGGCACCACCCATGCGAGTCATTTGAGCATCTGTCAGAACATACTGTCAAGCAGAGGACATGATTCAGCAAGGTTATCGCATTTTTGAGAGGCCTATTATCGCTTGTGGAGGTCTTAGCCAAATTCCTGAAGCTCACTACGCTCGCTAAATTGGTCATTGCATGTTTTGGCGAAGTGCTCATGTGTTCACGAGATTTAAGGTCAGGCCATCGACAATGCCCAGAATCACACGCACCTACTCACCTGCCCTTGTTGGTCCGATTTGGTGCGGTCCGAAAACGAACTTGTTGGGCTCCGCAAACGGCGGAACCTTGGAGGGTCCTGGTACATCATCTTTGGCTCTGGGAGACATAAAGGTACCAGGTGGTGGCCTGTGGGAAGGTGCCGGCAGATGTTTCTGGGGATCAACACACCAATTTGGGTCACCAGGACCATCCAACGGTCCTGAGAACTAACACCTAACATGGACTTATCCATTTGGTGAAGGTCTGTTGGACTTATCCACCTAACCTTTGGGGGACCATCCATTTGCAACATGGACTTAACATGGATAGGTCACCTGTACCAAATGGATTTCTTGGACTTATCCATTTGGTGAACTATGCAAGATGTCTGCCGAACTTGGCTGGTTCTCGAACTTCAGCAGAAATTGTGCATGTCGTTGGAAGATTGATAGGGTCTCTTCATGTCTCTTCATGAGATAGTGCTTTTGAAGACGTTTTAAACGCGCGAAGAATGGAGTCTTTCTCACTCGGGAGGACCCGGTGAACCGGGTGACCAACCCAGAGACTCCAATACCCAGAGACTCCAAGTAAACCCCACGGATTCCTGGCCCACCATGGATTTCATAAACAAACTGGACCGGGTCGACTGGCAGGTCTTGGAAGGCTAGGCCGGCTAGGCACCTACATTGGGGGTCAATGTAGGCCATGGAGTGTCTGGGATATGGTAACCTCCATGCAAAACCCTACCAGACACTCGAAGATTGCGGCTCCCCGTTTACCAACACTCCAAAACCGCCCTCCAGTCAAAACGAAACTGGCAAACAACCCGAACGAAGACCTCGACACCAACGACTTCTGTAACACCGTCGGAGGAGTCCCGGTAATGTAGACTCTTGATTATATCTTTTGCAAAACCTCTTCATCCATGGGGGCTTTAATAATCAATCAAGATGTCATACATTCTGGGTCCTCTGATCTTCAATCCCAAAGCGCATGGAGGCTTGCTTTCTGCGGAGGGAGACGATCATGTGCAAAGGCTGCAGCACGCGCTGAGCCGACGGGCACAGAATCACCACCTGGATCCACGGAAGTCGATTTCAACACGGAAAAATGCGGTTTGCTCCCTGAACGTCGATCAAAAAGAATGGTCTTCCGGTACCCAGTTTAGGTGGCTGGTGGTTGGAAGGAACACATATCAAGTCAAGGGGATCAACCGGGTGGTGCTAGTTTAGAGTACCTGACATTTCCAGCACTTCCGACATCCAGGTACGAGATCGTCTTCCCTGGACTTCTGAGAAGGTGAGGAGACCAAGGGTGATTTGTTTGGAGCACCTAAGGTGGGTGGGTCTGAACCCATTCGCCGTCCGCTTGGAATGACTTCCGCTGAAGCGGGAAGCTTCAAAGCAGTCAGCCGTCAGATGCCTCGACTGCTCAGAACTACTTCAAAGCAGCAACCGGGAATCAATCATTCCTGGAGTCTCAGTTTGTACTTCGATTAATCAGTAATTGCTGATAATTGCTGTTTTTATAGCCCAGACATAGTGACCTTACATGGGGTATGTAATTATGCCATACATGGATGGTCTGGGTAGGATCATGTCCCATTTTCTAAGGGTACTTGAAGTCGGGTCCAGGTTCTTACACCTGCAACATTCAGTACGAACCCAGGCGGCCACGAGTAGTAAAGGAACAAGGTACCAGACCGGTCCAACCACTGAAACTTCCAGCGAGCTCTCGTGGGAACTGCCTGCATCTACTGGGATAGTTGTGGAGCCGAAGGATTTCTCCCTCAGGATCTCAAGATTGAATTCTGGCTGCTTGGTGCTGATCATGGTGGAGAAAAAAAGACGTTGAGAAACGGTGGAATTTCACAGGGCCTCTACCCCAGCTATTCCCAGGATATACCGGAAAACAACAGAAACGATCAGTGATGCAGTGATGCATCCAATCTCAGAATCAGCTTAAGTCTATCTACATGGCTCAAACTCCAAATGCTCGGGCACTGGCTCCAAAAACGCTCCCTTCGTCCGGTGAAGTTCATCATCTCACCAGGCAGACCCCGCCCGTCCACCTGTCCGGAATCCGTGGAGGCGTAAATGGCCCAACCCATATTCACCAGGCCTCGGGTCGTCTTCATCAGGGTCGCTACTGAAAGCACTTCCGAACTCAGGGTCTGGCTGGACTACCCTACTACAACTACCAGGACCTGACTTCACAGGTCATCACCTGCGACGCCCTTAGATCTCCAAAAGCCACCATTTCGGAGACCGACCTAGAGTCTGGTCCTGGCAGCTGTCATCCCGACATGAAGGTCTCGACATGAGTGCTGGGGGACCACGAGAACCGAAAAAGCAGCACGAACGCACAGCTCCTGGAGCTCAGTGTCTTGAGCTCCGTTTTGGTTTTGAGGGCGGACGCGGCTTTTAAGGTCAATGGGTACCTCGAAAACCGAACGAATGATCAATTACAAGGTGCTCAGAAGAGGTTCACTTGGATGGTCTTTAAGGCCTGCTTTAAAACAGTCGATGATCTTTGCTGCTTGTTGGGGGTTCTGAAACTGGATCCCCACGCCCTGAGAAGCCATGCTATATCCTTGTTCAGGTGGATAGCAACCAGTTGGAACAAGAAGACCACCGCATACCGCTAAATATTCCTACAATTTTCCAGAAGGAAACTGCCCTCCCCGCAGCTCGACATCCTCAACCAATCTAAGCCCCTGTCCTTTGGCCCCTTTGGAAATCCAACCGGCCACTTGCCGATATGTTTAAAGTTGAAACATGTGGTCTAATTTATATAATAGAATCTATATTGTTGTTTGAAAAAGAAAAGATTGTGAATCAACAAAATGAAACCATATCTTCAATGGTTTTTGCCAACAATTTGTTGGACAAGAAGCCAGAGCCTTTTGTGCTGCACATTTGACTCCCTCGTCCTTCAATTGGCTCGATCACCTGGCAATCTCTGGCGCTGGCGATGCGTTGGTGCATTGGTTCTTCCCCCCTTTCGAGTCTCGACTCTCAGAGTCGAAATGTCCAGTCGATTTGGGACCTGAGTATAGTCGAACTGGACGAAGGTAACGTGCGAACTTGCATGAATTGAAGATCTCTTGAACGAGTTCGGGCAAGTCCGGTGCACGTCTGTTACCGTTTCATGGTGTTGACATAGACAAGAAAACCGAGGGCACTGGCATATTTACCGATCGGGTGGTTGACCTGGGGTAGTAGGTAATGGTTCCATACATGGAGCGCTTGGGATCTAGGTCATGGGTTTCCCTAAGTAGACAGTAAGTGAGGCGAGCAGGTCAAATCAACCAACCAACTGGTCCAATTCATCTGACTCGCGCCATTCCGTGACCCTTCAACCGCGGCCAGGGTCTGTCAACATCATTGGCCCCCCCAAACTCCCGGAAACCAACCAAAACCTTGGTCCTAGCTCCCATCCCTATGCCTGCGGCTTCGCTGTTCTGACTGACCACACACCGTTTCATCGAAGTCCATGCGCCAAGCAGCACCGCAGTACCGGAAAGAACTGTTCGGCACCGAAGTCACCCGTTCGTCAGATTACACCCTGGAAGACTCACATGGAACCTAAAAAACCCTGGGTTGGTAGAGGAAAATAGTCTTCCATGGGACCATTGTTATAGGGTCTATGTTAGTCTTCGTCAGATTATGTTCAACAAGAATCTGGGGGTTTTTCCACACCCAGTCCTCGTTGGCGTCCGTCCGGTTTTTCTTTTTGGAAGACCTGACAACGACCAGCTCGTCCTGCAATGGAAGCACTGACCCCAAAAAAGGCCTCCAGTTTCTGTGGCAAGCTCTCGCTCAGGGTCCACGGCTTCGCGGAATAGCCACTTCCACGGTGCACGTGGTGTTCCACAATGGCGCGGCCGTTCCGGTCCAACAAGAGGAGGATTCCTGCCGGAAAGAACCGATTCGGGACCGCCCTGGTCCTGTTTTCATCCACCCAGCGCCGAACCCTCCAAGTCCGGTCTCCTTTCCATGGAGGGTTGGACCGTAAGAGGTCTCAACCTGTGGGAGGCTGGAAGAGAGGATTCACATGAAATTGAAAGAACCGAAACACTCCACCAAGTGCGTAATGAGGCGACAGTTCTGCCATGTGATGTCTAGAGTCTAGAGCGCTGCTCGACCCAGCTGAGCTGTGATTCAATCAATCATATACCAACGGGTGCCCAATGGAGACCTGTAGGTAGGGTGGGGTAGTCTATTGGACACCCATTGGATGACTCTGGTATAAACCTTTAAAAATATAGTGTTCCTCACCCACCCCCTTGTCGTCCTTGCTTCTGTGTACATACCACACTGAACAAATACCCCTCCGATGGACAAGGGAGATGACTTTGAGCGGCCCAACGGACCATAGACCTGCGAGCACCCACCCTCTTGCGTGGTGCTGTTCTTTTCTGTTGGTCGATGCAACCTGGGAAGAAATCGGACCCCTCTGATTGCATAGAGACCAACCACAACGGATTCGCCCTCACTCCTCCCAGGCAGTGACCTCCGGAAGACCTGCTGTCCTCGGTTGTGCAAATAGCCAATGCTTTTCCAGGTGCTGCGAAGCTCTGCAGTGGGGATCGCTGGCTGTAAAGTCAAGTTCCTGGCCGCGGCTGGAGTGATGTCCGGGGCGAAGATCAGATGTTGAATGGATGGCACCATGCGTTGTTTCAGCTGTTCCAACCTTCCGGGTCTTCTTTCATCACTTCAAGCCCTTGAAGAAGTGAAGTTGGAGCTGCGCTTTTGGGTTTGCTGTCGTTGAAACATAGTCCCCAAGAAAGGGGAGTGACCCAGGAAGCAGCGAAAATCATTAATATCACCACATCACCCGAAAGCCGACAAACCAGGCTTGTCCGCTGCCCAACCGGCCGTGCTTGAACGGCATCAACCCCAACCAACCTGCAAATGAGTCTCAATTCCTCATGACGTCATGACGTCCAAAACGCGCATGCTTCGGTCTCGTCACATGTGGCGCCATGAAGAGAAAGAAAGAAAAAACCTCTCGAAAGGATGATTCCACATGATTGCACCGCATACCTGGATCTTTCAACGACATGCAACATTTCTGCCGAACTTGGCCGGCTTACGCCGGCTTTTAGGGATGAAGTTCAGTGGAAATTCTGCATGTCGTTGGAAGATCCAGGTAAGTGATTGGCAGGTGGTCTTAAAGTTCCGTTTGCTGGGAGGTAAAACCGTTGTTTGTCATAGTGCAATTAGTGGTGCGTGCCCTTCAAAACAGTGCGCGGACACAATATCTCTAGAACTCATGACTTGCATGCTTGCCAAGACCATCTAAGCCTGTACAGGCATATTAATGCTGGAAACGGCACCTTTTAACAAGACATCTCAATATGAAAACGTCTAATTACAGTTTACAGTTATATATTAAAATAGATCAATGCTTGCAATCATCAACACATTCAACACATTTAAGAAACAGAAGACAACACAATACCTCCATTTAGAAAACCACTGGTCCCTCTACCACCGCTTAGGCGGGCGAACGCAGTGCACCGGCACTGCTCGCTGTCTCGAACGTCCGTCTTCAGGTCCTCAAAAGCAAGGATTGTTGATAGCCCAAGGCTTCAATGCTGCCCTCCAAGTTCAATTCGGCTGAATAGATCTCAAATTGATCACTCAGCCTGGGTGGGAAACCACCCCACACCCACGCCGCGTGTGAGACACCGTCCGGTGCGTGATCGAAAAACGGCTTTCGTCGTCGTCCGACTCTTCGGCCGGTTCCGCGAGCCCGACGGTGCGGCTCGGACGGAGAAACGCTTTTGGTGCTCCGAACGGTGCTAGGCTCAGTATATCCCATACACTCCATGGGACTGCCGTATATGCCTATTACGTTGGGGTGGTGCCAGGGGGGTCAATGTAGGCATATATGGCATACATGGAGTCTATGGGTATTGGAAGGTGCGCACAACGGAGAAAGTCACCAAGCACGCGGTCGCCGAACTTCATCCAAACTGCAGCCATGCTTTTGGTGCCTTTCCATGGGTTCATGGAATCCGTTGGCGGGAGTGGGGTGGTTTTCACTCAACCATCCCAAGCCCTGGTGGATGAACGCCCCCCCGTTCGTGATGAGGAGAGAACTCGAGTTTTATTCCTCAAGTTCCTCGAGCTCTCAAGCCAGGATCTTGAAAAATGAGTATCTATATATACATACTACGTACACTATGTGTACTGTATATCATACACAATACACTTGTTTGAAGCCTACTTATCTCGCCCTATTGGAAGCAAGAAATAGCACACATATCATATATCCACAAAGTGATGCATCTGTCTATCCCAAACCTATACGCGGGCCGTGCGCGGGCTGTGCGGAATAGCAACAACAGCTTCTTGGCATAGGGATTGCAGGACAAGGCAGAGGGCCGGAACGCCCTGTGAGGCCATTGGCTGACACTGACCAACTTCACCAAGCTCCTCGAGCACGGCGGAACCAAGCTCTCCACGCCCCCCCGTGCGCAGCCCAGTGCATGCGACAGACCATTCTGCGACAGACCATTCTGCAACATGCGTCGAGAACGAAGGCCGTCCAGGCCGTGAAATTGGGCGACATGGGGTCGCCGTTCCATCCCTCTTCAGATGTAGCTGACTGGACCAGACTGGACATCCCCAGGGAAGACTTCAAGAACGGACTTCACACCCTTTCGTTCGATGGGATTCCGAGGTAGGACCTGAAGTGACCTGTTTCACCATCTCATCTGTGACTTCTTTTCTGGGTGCTTTGGGAAAGCACCTGAAGGGCCAACTGATGCAGAAGGTCTTCATCTGTCAAACCAGCCAAGTTCGGCAGAAATTCTGCACAATGAGTTGGAAGATAGGTACCTGGACCGGACTTCAAGTACCTGAGAAACTGGGACATGACCCGAACAAAACACAGGTAGATCAGATCTGCACCTTGTTGTACCCATGGACCCGAGGTACAAACTGAGATCTCCCGGCATATTTATGTGGTTCCCTGCGATGCACCTAACTAGTAAGGGGTTGGGGAACTCCTTGTAGCTCCTCGGCTCCCTGTTGAATGGGGAATATGGATGCCCCTGGCTCCTTAGCTCCCTCCTGAGCAAAAGCTAGAATTATGTGGTTCCCTGCAATGCACCTAAAAGGGAACAATTACACGGGACAGTGACGTCGGAAGTGATGCGGCCGAGCGGGAATTTGTTTGGGGGAAATTCCTTCCCTCCATTTCCACATGGTTCAACAGCTCACGTTCCCTGCTGCATGAAGCGAGGCAAAGCCTCATGTCTTTCTGAGAAAAATGGATGGAAACATTGGAAACATGTCGAAACCACAAACCAAAACTCAAAAGCTTCCCAAATCCTCCCAATTCCTGGGATGTCCACCATGTCGCAGAGCTTCGGGGCCGCTTTTTGCCTCCCAGATCTCCGAACCCCCACGCCTGTCATAAGAGTCTGCGGGTGCCAAGCGGGAGGCATGATAGTCACTGTCCACCAAGATCACGACCATGGTGAAGCACCAAAGGAGAATTTGCATCCAGCAACTTCTTTGGATACCTCAGTGGTTGGATATGGTTGGATGCTTGTCGGACTCAAGAAAGCTCAGGAGTTTTCCATCCAACAACTAGCAACTCCCTCCAACAACTCCAGGAGCTTCTTTTCCGCGCGTTGGCCAACCCGTTTTGCTTGGCCAAACCGCATGCTGAGCGCCTGGGGCCTGGGGCCTGGGACCACGGGAACGTTCCGTGCCATGAGGTTGGGTTCGTCTTCAAAGCAATGCCAGTCAGTCCGCAACTGGCATGAGTGATATCAACTACCCAAAGGCTCAGGGTTGACCCTCATAGCCAGGGTTTTGGACCTCAAACATGTAGCAGTTGGTTCGGGTCCAGGGTCGCCTCTGGGTATATTATATTATATAATATATTTGGAGTTGCGCCATTTTCAAAGCTCGAAAAACACCAGAAACCGGTGAATCGGATGTCCCCTGGAAAACACATCGGACTTCTGGTGGCAACGTGACCATATCCCGAGGATTCCAACCAGTAGGTCTCTTACCGAACAACCATTGTTTGACTACGGATTTTACACTGCAACGCCACGTCATCCGTTTTATAAATGGTCTTGGAAGGCTACAGCTAGGCTAGCCTTAGGGATATCTCAAAATGAAACTGATTGTTCTCCCCATCTTTTCTTCATCCACCTACCCATCGTCAGCTGAACGGAACCAGCTGAGTGACACTTCCAGGGAAGATTCTTGCTGGTCTCGTCCATGTCAGGCGCTTCGGGCATGAGCTCCTGGGCACGCTGGGCCGCAAACAAATGCAAAGATGGAAGCCTATACCAGCGCCCGACTCTAGTCTCCTCGTTGGAGGCTTGGGAAGGGCGTATTCAGGCTTGGTCGATCCATTGGTGACGTGGCAGGAAGGTGGCAGTGAAGATAATGGTGCCCAAACGGTCCATATATGCCATATATAGTCCTACATTGGGATGGTTTGGGAGGTCAATGTAGGTAAAAATTCCATACATCTAGTCTATGGGGTAGCAAGGATCCGGACCTTGAAAACCCTTCCCATTTGAGGGCCTCGAATCTTAGGGTAGTGCGCAAATCCTTAAGTCAAACCATGTTGGTTCGGGACTCCAGGCAATCCATGGTGGGGGGGCGATGGAATCGAATCCAAGATGATGAGACTTACTCTCTGGAAGACTCACATGAAAACTAGACTAACCCCTGGTTGGTAGAGGAAAATCGTCTTCCATGGGACCAGGACGTCAGGGTCTATCCCTAGGGATCCAAGTACCTTCTCAGGTACGGTGATTGGAGGCACTGTTATGTAGGTTTGGAAGGTCCAGTCGTACCTTCTGAGGTTCGGTACGACTGGATCCGTAGGGTATGTGAGTTTTGATGAGACTTAGCGGATCTGAAACTGCCCAAGGAGTCGAAGTGGTCGGTGACGTCCATCGCTTCGGTCGATCTCCATCGGATCTGGTCCATCCCGACCGCCCGAAGCGAGGAGTCTAGGGTCTCAAATCCCAGCGCCAAGCACCTTCCAAGAGGTATCAACTACACTGCTACTTGTCAGATCTCCATGTTTCGCACCCCTCAAGGAGGTTCGGGTTTTTTTCGAGTGACTGAGGTCAGGTGAAACAACCCCGGGGCGGCAGACACTGTCGACGCGTGTCGACGCGTGTCTGGTCGGAAAACGAGATGGAGCCGTTGGGTCTGAAAGGATCTGAAAGGGTCGAAATTCGTTCCTTGAGAAATGATGCTCGACATGGAGGGATGTGTGCAGGGTCTGAAGATCCCTGCACCCAACGAAGTAGTGGCTACGATCCCTGGTTTGAGCCGGTGTATCGAACTGTCCACTAGCAAATAGCTAGTAGCAAGGACGCCGCTAGGTGGAGGCCATTGCTATTGGAGGCCATTCCTACTAGTAGCAAGAAGCTAGATCTGATCGGACGTCGCACTTGTGAGGCGGTGATGCGGTGATGCGGTGCCGCTCGGACGGTAACGTTCGTTGTTTCGGGGGGACACTGCCCCAATCCTCCAAACGGTTTTGCAGGTCATCCACCTTTGTTGGGGTTGGGGGATCGGCATGATGAGGCATGTCAAGACTCCCTGGCAGGGTGGTAAGTCGATTGAAAGGGGGGGGTCGTCCAGCAGGTGAAGCTCTTGATAGAAAACCCTTGAGTTGTGAATTTGCCAAGTGTACTGCAAGCACTGTACTGACCATTTAGGAATCCGAAAGGCTGAGCTCTTCGATATGGAGTATCATATGCGTCAAGGAAGAGCATCGCTGTCCAGAAAATGTCCCGTCCCACTCCCACGATATGCTCGCAGAAAAAAAATATAGTGGAGGTACACGACCGTGGCAGGCTTGGCCCAAAAGGCAGATCGCGCCGAAGGAAGAAGTCAACATCACAGTGATCCAAAAGAAACCGGTACCTGGAAACCCACACCACCAGAAACAAAGGGATCAAATTGGATTCTAGGATGCCCACTAAGAGTGACACCAAGTTAAGCAAACAAAACCATAACAACATATAACAGCAGCATTGAATACCTTGCCGCAAGCGTAGAAAAGCTGTGTTGCCGCCCCGGCACGACCGACCCCCCCAGGCGCTGCCGCCCAGGCGCGAAGGGCCGCGCCTCTGCGGCGACCGCCTCCTGCGCCGCGTTGCGCGGCGAAGCATCGATGCGGCTCTGGAGCTCCTGCGGCCGACGCAGTCCGCGGGACGCTCCGGACGAGGAGAAAGGCAGCTGGGCAGCTGGGACGAACAGGTCGACGCCGTTCGTAGGTTTCGTGGTGGTCGATCTGCCTTCAGAGATTCACAACGCATGGTTTACCATGTAAAACATTTCATTGGTGGTTGACTTGGGGTCAATGTATCATAATGTATCATATTCCATACATGGTGGTAGTAGGGAGCTTGACTTTGGACCCGTGACTTGATGGTCCGAGGAAAGGACCGCAGAGCGGTGCTGTCTCGGTGGGGGGACGAACATAGATCTTCCAATATACATATTGGAACATATTGAGGAAATGGAACATATTGAGGACGCTTAGTTCCAGGGATCTTCCGCAGAATCTTCCGCCGAACTTTGGCTGGTTTCATAGATGAAAAGGAAAACATTCCGCAGAGGGAAGACAAGCGCGAAAGGTAGACTCGCGAAAGAGTCGCCTTGGATGAAAAAGAACCAGAAATCACATGTTGGGGTAGTTTCTAGTCCCATCCAGTGAGTGGATGTGCTGGGGACCCCGACTTCCTCCGTCCATTCGGCACCCCTTGGTCATTGTGGCTCCTGGAAACTTCCACAAACCGATGGCTTTCCACTTCGGTTCCGGCTGAGTGGTCCACCACCCAATCCGATCAGTCCCGATCACCCCCTACCGGGTCGTCCAAACCCTCCACACACTGACACCCAGACACGACACGGACTGGGACTGCCATGACGGACAGCTGATCAGTTGGTGCCAAAGGGGGCAATGTAGGTATAAGACTTCCAAGACCATTAAGCAAAATGTCCAGCAATTAAACTGTAGATTCAGCTGAAATTCATGGTTGGCCAGGAAGCCGGTATGGCAGTCCCATGGAGTGTATGGAGTCTCTGTAACCATCGATTCCAATCGGTACAAGTCCACCGCCCCCACCGCCCACCGCTCCCGGATGATCGCGCTCATGCGAGAGAGGTCGATGATCCTCGGCGTGGGTGGGCGATTCAAGCGTGGGCGTTTCAAGCCAACGAAAGGTTGACTTCATGTTTGAATGCCTTTCAAGACCATTCAAAGAGTGAAAGGTTGACCTGATCTTCTAGTATTTTTGTAGTGTCAAATCCACCAAACCTATGAGTTTTCTTCGGGATGTCAGGCCAGAAATCCTCAATGGTGGGCCAGAAATCCTCAAGCCAAACCGGAACCGGTGCACATCGGAGAAAAACACCGGGCGCGCAACACGAGTGTTGCGCTGCGCAGTGCGCCACATCCAGCACGGTCTGACGAACGGTGAACCTGGATGGTCCGTTAAAATATGGTCTTTGGACTTCTAGGGATTCTATATTCTTGTCTTCAAAAACGGCTCGTATAGCCCAAAAGAGTGCAAGTCTTTCAAGAACCTGGATCTTCAAATGATACCCCCTCCCTGAAATCTAGGGTCATTATATAATAAGGTACGTATATAGGCACGTGTCTCTTTCCATGGGAGACTTGCTTTTTGAAACTCTCTTCCCCAAAAAGGCTCCGTCATCACCTCCTCAGTTCGGTAGAAAGGGACCCACCCAAAAACTACCCACCCCTTCCCCCACCTTCAAAGGCACTTGGAGCCCCTGTCGGACGGGAAGATTGCTGCTCTTATAGGGGTGCTCAGGTCCGCTTCCCACGCTGCGTCCCTGTCGGGATCGGAACGAGTCCCTGTCCCAGTGACAAAACCGGTGAGTGGGTGTGATGTCGCGGCACGGTTCAGCTTTCCTTCAGCCGGCGGCCTTTCCGGTTCTGCCTGTGGCACCCCGAAGATATGACGAAGGCCTTCAGGCGAGCGACTCCCCTCGATTGGGCTGAGTCAACTGCACCTGTCCTGAGTGAGCATCCACCCAATAGAGCGCCGCATGACCTGCAGTTCTCCGGCAGAAGTTCTGGGCTTTTGCTCTATAGAATGGTGGCGGGGATGGAAGCAAAAAATCCCGTATAAACAGAATGTGCTGAGGTCACCTAGCCAGACCATGTTCAACAAAGCCTTGGATTCACAGGGTTATCAGACTCTGCGTATTGTTTTGCCGATCCCTAGCCGGCGACGAGCAGACCAATCTTCAAAGTGCGAACGCACAGTCACAGCAAGAACGACGAATGATCAACTTCCCTCCTTTGGTTTCAGGCCCTAGGCCTCCAGTCGTACCTTCTGAGAAGGTGGGACTGGGGTGGGTGCCAGGAGGGTCCGAATACCTTCTGAGGAGGTACTTGGAGGTGTAGGGAGGTACTGCAATTGACAGGTGGACCTTCTATGACCAACCATATATTCTACCAGCACCTTCCAACAGGTCTCCTTTGGAGGGTTGTTAGGCCCTAACAGGTTTCAATTGGTTGGAGGTGCTGGTACAGGAATCTTGAAAGATGGAATTGGAAGGCCCCCTGTCAACACCTACACCCAACTCTTATCAACAGCCCATGCGCAGCGAAACCCGAGGCGCGACCGCGTCTGGTGATGCGCTTTTAGAATAGGTGGTGGTCGATAGAGATTATCTAAACATGCATTCACCCTACACCCAAGAAAGATGGAAGTGGATCAAACAAGAACGTTTTCTTCATACCCAAAGGCTCATTGGACCCTAATAGCCAGGGTTTTGACCCTCACAGCCAGGGTTTTGGATCTCAAACATGCAGCAGTTGGTTTGGGTCGCCTCTGGCTAGAAAATATATGCACGTGTTCTTTCAGATGGCCATAGTCTCCACCCTCCATGATTCTTAAAGACAAGACCCTCTACAAGTCCAGGTCGACTATGTTTGGCGCCACCCAAATAAATGAAGTTCCTAGACTCGAGTCATGTGGAAAATAGTCTTGGACGAATAACCAAGAGAGGTTAAGTGACCTTTATAAGACCTTACTGGGGTACCTATGGGGTAGGCTATAGGGTCCTTCAACCTCTGTTGGAATTACCTGGGATCCTCCAACGACATGCACAAGATCTGCTGAACTTGGCTGGTTTGATGGACGACGTTCGCAAATTGGTTGACTTACCGACGATACTCAAGCTATATATGGAGTTGGGGCTCATCCGGTTGTGACCCACTTGCATGTAGGCCATCTTTGCTCGGATCCGCGACCTTCAACGCTCGAAGAATGTGTCTCTTAAGGAGACCCTGTGGCATTTTCACACGGACCCGGAACCGACCCGCCGGAACCGACCGAGTCGACACCCCGGGACCACGACCGGCAGGTCGCCACGAACGAAACGCCGGTCATGGCCTTGGCCATCTTCACAGCAGCATTGCAACCAGCTCCCATCGTCGGCCATCTGTGTATCATCTGGCCTCGTGGGCTATCTACTTCCAGTCTGGGTCAAGACGCAGGGGGAGATAGACTGACATGAAAAACATATATACCAACCGAATCCCTCAAAATGTTCCTCGCGGGAAACCCTGTAGACGCCTGGCAGAAGCATCAACCTTCACCGCCCAGCACCCGTCCTTGGGATCAAGGTTTCAACCCAGTGGCTCATACTCTGGCAGGTTCAAATGATCTTCCAGCTCTTTGACGTCTTCTTCCAGAATCACCTGCGATGTTCCATGCTCAAAAATGGGGAGGAATCCGCGGGGGTACTTGTGTCAGGTACAATTGTTTCATTGTACACGGCTGGATGTGTCCCCTTTGATCCAGCAAGTTTGAGGATTCCTTCATGATCTTCATGGATTTCATAGTCTAGAATCCCGAAACCAACCATTGTTGCACGGTTGTGTCTTTGGAGATGTTGCATCAGGCAATGCCTCGCTGCTTCTCACCGGTAGGTCCACCCGTTCGAAGAACACCGAGGAGGGCTGAGAGCCCGAACAGACTGGGCTGGGGTCCGAAGCCAGGTTTGGAAGTCGGGGGTGGCCCGGAGCGTTTGGGAGAGCAGATGGGACCAGCTTTTGGAAGGTAGTTCCTGAACTCGGATCACTCAAAGAATGATACCCAACAGTTCTATGTGGCAACGACAATCATCCAGTGTGGATAATGTAGACGTTTGATTGATCCCAAATGGGGAGGGTTTATTAGTCAAGAGTCAAGAGTCTACATTACATAACACGCGGTGGTGCCTGGCAACTTTGGCATCAGAAAACCTGCCCCGGCCTCAAGCTCCAACAAGCTCCAACTAGCTTCTGAGAAGGTGCAGAAAGGGTGAGAAGATGTGGTTGGTGTGGCCCCGATGTGGGCTGAGACCTGCGGTACCTGGATCTTCCTCCGCGGAAATGGCCATCTATCTTGCTGGGCTTTAGATTCCACGCGTCATACTTTATACTCCAACAGTCATGTGTGAAAAGGCACGACTGTGGACGAAGACACAATGTATAACGGGATCATCCAATGACATGTGGAAGCTCTGTCAAACTTCATCAAACCAACCCAATTCGACAGAACTTCTGCGTGTTTTCCAGATCCAGTTTCGTCACCTTGGATCCGGTTTCGTCACCTACTTGACTGGTTGACCTTTGGTTGACCGCAGAACATGCACCAAATCGACGCCCCCCAAACTCCACCGAGACGGGCGTACGGTACCTACTGGCACCCGGCTCTAGGGGTCTGGCCCCCCCGCTCCCGCTCCGGGCCCTGTCAGTCGCACGAGCCGCCAGCGTGGCGCCACGAGTGAATTCACGAGTCGCACGGCGCCTGCATGCGGTGCAAATCCTCCGCTTCCGCCGCACTCAAGTGTTCCACGATCTCCTGAGGCTTCGCTCCGGCGAAGCGGCAGGGGAATCCGGAGGACTGAAGGTAACGCATGTGAAGACCGTGTGCCAGGAGTCGTCCTACGTGTTTGGCCACACTACTAACCAGTTGGTCACACTCACCCTGGTAGCCTGGGTAGTAGACTGAATCTCAAACAAAATCTAAAGGAATTACATTCGTCCACACTGCGGGGCCCCTGTTAGGGCAACGAATCGGCTAACCAATGGATGCAATTGATAGATTGATGGCTTGTGTGTACTCAGATTCTTTGGGCTGTCCACCCCGGGCCCCATCGGGCCCCCAGACCTGCAGTCTAGTTCGTGGACACTCCGCGGTCTCGTCCCGTCCCAAATACCCAGTCCCAAACAAATGGCTACTCCAATAGAGGCCGTTTACATATAGCAAGTGGTGGCTTAGGGAAACATCCATCTGTTTCTAGTTGGGACTGGGTTTCTAACGGTTACAGTGTCTGGTCCTACGTCCGGCACCAGTGAAGGTCCTCTGGTCCACAACACGCGCGGGCCCGAAAAACACTTGCAGGTTCACATGCCGGGGATGGAAACCATGTAGGACCATCCATGTAGGGCCTAATTAGGCGGCCTAATTAGGCGGTCGGTTTCAGGCGTCAATGTAGGCGGTCCTATGGCAGTCCCATGTTCTGGGAAATGTGTCACCACCAAGTCACAGGACCTCCGAACTTCTTCAACACCTTGGAGATCTGCTTCGCTTCCTGCCACAGCACTGAAATTGCGCCAGCAAGCGCAGTGCGACAAAGAGATGAATGAATGAGTGGAATGGAACAGAATGGAAAGGAATGGAAGGGACATGGACACGGAAATGGAATGGAAAGAAATGACATGAAATGACAAGGGAGTGGCAAGGAATAAGATAAAAATGAACATGAACTGGAAATGAGTGACTCAATGACTGAATGAATGACTGAGTGACTGACCGAATGACTCAGTGAATGAATGAATGAATGAATGAATGAACGAACGAACGAACGAACGAAGGATTTATGAGGCTTACGCCTGACAGCCGGGCGCCGGCCTATTTGGGTTTGGGTCTGTGCAGGGCTGGGTACTCTCTCTCTCCCTCTCCTCTCTCTGTCGTCTCTGTCTCTGTCTCCGTCTCGGTCTCTGTCTGTCTCTGTCTCTGTCTCTATCTCTGTCTCTGTCTCTCTGTCTTCTCTGTCTCTGTCTCGGTCTTCTCTGTCTCTGTCTTCGGTGTCTCTGTGTGTCTCTCTCTCTCTCTCTCTTTTTGAGACTGTGTGGGGCCTATGTTGCCACATCTTGAGGCAGTCTTGGCCCATCTAGGGGCTATTGGGTCCTCTTGAGGGCCTCTGTCAGGTCGGAGCACATGTTCCGCCTTTGCTGTTGGCGCGTGCCCAACACCAACGAAATGTCGATTAAGCCTGTCCGCGCGGCACGCATAACCGACACCACCGGCGCCCTGTTAGGCGAAAGTCGTGGCCGCCGAAGGCCACGAAACGCTGTAAAAAACGATGTTTTTGAACCTCCTGCGCAAGATACATATAAATCTGTCGACCGGATTCGGGCGGGGGTCGGGCGGGGGTCGACCGGGGGTCGGGCGGGGGTATACCGGGGGTCCAACAAAAGGGTCGGCGGCAGGGGCGGCGAGCGTAAAAAACCTTCGGTTACCAACCGATGGGGTCTGGGAGTAGAGCCTTGTTCGCGACCCGTTGTTTCTATGTTCGCAACCGTCCGCAACCGTTCGCAACCGTCCGCAACCGTTTGCAGGTGTCCGCAGTAGAGCGCCAAGGCGCTGCCATTGGGGGAAGCTTTTGCAAGTGACTTTTCATGGATGTGTCATGTGTCAGTTTGCAACGCTATTCCATTGTGATTCGCTTGAAAATGACATGTCGCGCAAGAAGCGTGATGCATTTCGCTGCACAGGCGCAGTGGTTTGAGAGATCCGCAGTTTACTGCGCAGTTCCATTGGGATTAGCGTTTGGAGAGTCGTGTTTTTGGGGTGTTGGATGTGGCCGTGCCATTGGGATTTGCATTTCAGGGTGTGGCATCGAAGCTCTGTTTTCGTGACAAGTCTCAGCTGAAATGGCGATTTGGTGGATGGGAGTGTGCTCAGAACGGGTCGAAATCATTCTAAACGTGTGGTGTGGTGCAAATTTTGTTGATGAAGCTCACGTGAGATGATATTGTCACTTTTCGTGGCAGGCACAGTACTTATTTTGAGGTGTGGAAGTGCGATTTTCGTGGCAGGCGCAGGAAATCGTGAGGTTGCGAGGTGTGACGGAGGTGACATTTCGTGGCAGGCGCAGTACTTTGTGCGCGTTAGACGTGTGGATGCGGAAAGATTCATGGCAGGCGCAGGGAATCGTGAGGTCGTGAGTTGTGGTAGAGGTGAATGTCGCTGTCGCATTGGGATTGGCGTGTGAGCGGGTATTGTTTGGAGGGGCTCAACTCGCGGATCTGCTTGGCAGGGCTGCGTGATGTGTGTGTGTGTGCTCCGATGGATGTTTCCGCTTGACTTTTGGAGGAAGTCTCGTACGAAATCCTCGCTTTGCAGACTTTGACATGTGAGTTTTGGAGGAAGACTCGTACGAAACGCTCGTTTTGGAGACTTGACACGTGACTTTTGGAGGAAGTCTCGTACGAAACGCTCGTTTTGGAGACTTGACGCGTGACTTTTGGAGGAAGTCTCGTACGAAGCGCTCGTTTTGGAGACTTGACGTGTGACTTTTGGAGGAAGTCTCGTACGAAACGCTCGTCTCGCGCAGCCTCGAAGCGTGACTTTTGGAGGACGTCTCGTACGAAACGCTCGCAGGACTGCTTCTAGTGTCCCACAAGAGTGTCCCACAAGAGTGTCCTACGAGAATGTCCCACAAGAGTGTCCCACAAGACTGTCCTACAAGAGTGTCCCACAAGAGTGTCCCACAAGAGTGTCCTGTAAGTGACCCACAAGAGTGTCCTACAATAGTGTCCCACAAGAGTGTCCTACAAGAGTGTCATTTGGACATATGTATATAGCTTTTCGAACGTCTTTGCATTCGGGTTCGTGGGCTCCATCTTTTTTCTCCTAGAGTGGTTGTTGCTCGGAAGGCCTTTTTGTCCTGGGGATTGTTCCCTGTGCTCTGCAAAAGCAACACATGTCGGCGATGGATCCGGGAATGCACTTCTGGCACCCCCGGGGCCCAAAATCAACTATGACTATATCTGAGATAAGCTGCTAGAGTGGTTGCAGAGGCTGTGAGGAGTGACCATGTTGCCCTCATGCTGCTCCACCGTTGCTCTCATCGTTGGCGTTCGTGACCGCGTCATCGTTCCGCCGTGATGGCCAAAGAGTCTGGCTGGTTCTCATCGTGGTCATCATGGCATGCTCTGACAAAGAGCTTGGTGGGCCTTGGCTCTGACATAGGGTCATCATGCATTCATAAATTCATTCATTCATCCATTCCAGTCCATTCCATTCCATTCCATATCGTTTCATTTCATTTCATTCGTTCATTAATTCATTCATTCATGAGTAGATGGATGAATGGATGGATGGATGAATGAATGAACGAACGAACGAATGAATGAATGAATGAATATCATATGAAATAAAATGAAATGAAATGAAATGACATGAGATGAACATGAAAATGAAAATGAAAATGAAAATGAACATGAAAAAATAAAATGAAATGAACGAGAAAATGAAATGGAATGAAATGAATGATTTTTCCGGATTTGCCGGACGTCGCCCACCAACCAAAGACTCTAGATCTGGTGGCTATGGCACGGAAGAGTCTCTGAGTATCATCAAAGACTGGAGCGATGATGCCATCAATAGTTTGACCCTCCTTCTGTCCACAAGCGGGAGCAATCTCTTGGATGCACCTTGCGCATCCACCAGGAAAATCATTGTTCACTGTGTTCAAGATCGACCAAGTGCAATTTGCTTCTCCTTGTGCCGTGATTCCTTGTGGATTAGTTTCAGAGATGAGGAAGCCACCATATTATATATGCCAGTACGATGACAGAAGTCCTTGACATCAGCTTGGCTTGAGATGGTCTTGCGCGTTCTGACAACATCACGCTTCTCCGGGCCTCCTCAAAATGGTGGAATCCATCATCATCGAAGAAGTGGCTTGCAGTCTCTCGATCAAGGCTTCCCCATAGATCCCACATAGATCTAAAGCGTCGCCAAGGCTTCCCCATTCGGAATTGGAATACAGACTTCACTTTCTTGGGGAGGTAAAACGTCCTCCAGCACAGCCCTCTGAGATTCCTTGTTCTCCTGCTTTTGAAACGATCTTCTGGAGCCAGCGTAAGCGAAACGATATCTATCCGATTGATAGAGTTCATTCTCAAAGCCCAGGAATGCTTCAATGAGCTTGATGAAGCATCACCTCCATGATCATGTACAAGTACCTGTGGATCACCTCTCTCGTACAGTTTGGGAGTGGACGAATACTTGGCTCAGTGCCTATAGTTGGTCAGTTCATGGGGCTCTGAGCTTCGATCCCCCCAAGCTCCGAGGCTCGTCTTGTTGCACCTTTGGATCAGAATCCAGTGGACCATGTCGGGGCATTCACCCAAACACACTCACATCACAGACAGCAAACCAAACAAAACCACCAAGAAACTAAAACACATATGTCACACATGGATGAAACAATCTCTCTCTCTCTCTCTCTCTGCTCCTTGAAGGCAGCCGCTGCACACCGATCCTTGCTCATGAAGGGCAGCGCTTGGACGGTCACCTGACCGCCGTTTGGAGATCTGCGGGGCCCGGTGGTGGCGCAGGATCCCTAGGCACCAAGACCCTCAATTCATGGTGACCTCCTTAGGTTCGGTAGCTCCTGGAACCCGACGTTGGATCCGCACCCCGGGCCCCGGTCGTCCCACCGAAACGAAACGAATGGAGGCCTAGGGGTGAATAGGCGATAGGATGCAATAGGCAATGACCGAAGAACCATTGTTTTGCTAAACTAAGGATTCTACACTACGAAACCAGATAGTCCAGGTCGTTCCCATTATCTTTATAGTATTTTATAGTCAAACGGAAGGCGAACGGGGAATGTCCAAATCCATTCACAAGGAACACTGACCCAGCAGGCATGTGGCTTTTAACAAACCCTTCGTGCCAAACAACCGAAAAAGATCCCAAACATTCACGACCACAGCAAGAAATGTAGGACTTACTCACACATGGAGCATGTGGGTACAGCATCCATCCATCTTGAGAAGAAATTGAAAGGACATGAAGAAAACGACTGCTTGGTGATAGCACTGCAGATCACGAGCTGGCCTTTGGCATGGTGGCATTGGCAGCGGTTCGGCCTGGCCGGGGGTTCCTGTCTCGTCCAGTCCAGTGGACAGAAAGACCTTCAGGCCGAGAAAGCCTTTTGAATCCTTTAGAATGTCCCAACTTCTGGAATATCTATGGTGTACTAGTACTTTCATGATCCGACCTTCCATTTCAGAGTAAGTAAGTTTTTAGAGTAAGTAAGTTCCTACAGTAGTCGCCCCTTTTGCCGGCAATGTTGGAGGTCACTTGGAGCTTAAGTCAACAACAGGTCACGAAATGGCACTCCAATCAGGGCACCCCACTGAAGAAGCTGCTGAAAAACGGACCCTCCACTACTCTACCTCTTTTCTTCGTCTGTTGGGTTATAGTCCAAAGATCCGGTAGAACCTGGTCGACTTGACCTCCTTAAGTAGTGTTTGTGTATGACCAACTCCATCAAAATGAGGTCAAACAGACCTGTACTGTAGGGTATAGATCATCCATACAACCAGAATGAACCTCTGGGCCTTTATAAACTCATGAACCCTGGACCAAACCAACCACACTCCAGAAACACCGCATAAGTCCAGGTCGACTATATGTGGTCTCACTGAAGTAAAGGAAAGTCCTAGACTCGGGTCACTTGGTCAGTCCATGTTCCAAATAGTCGACTGGACTTTCAGGGAACTCTAAATCCACCATGAAAAGCACCCCCCACCTCCTCCCCCCAGACAAAACAACAAGAACCTACTACTACTCCCCAGTTTCAGGCCCAAATCCCCACTTGAAAAAAGAAGAAAAGAACACGTCCCCCATGTTCGAAAACGTCCTCCCGGTGCTTCTTTGAACGACCTCTCTCCATCCTCCTATCCTCTCGGTCTCAGGGGCGGAAGCGCTTGCTGTGCCATCCAAAGACGTCGAGGTAAATGGAGGAACGATAAGACATGGGCAAGCCAGCTCTGGATTTCAAGGGGCAGGAGACCTGCCAGGACGGAGCTGGCGGAGCAGACGGAGCTGACGGAGCTGTTCAAGTGCGCAGTTCAAGTGGCGCACCTGTGGCGCACCTGTGGCTTTGTGGGGTCATACGTTCACGTGTCGTGAAGGGGGATATTCATGAAATCCAAGACACGATGTTCTGAATAAATTGTGTTGAATGAGATCACCCGAAGAGGACTTTCCTTTCGTTCGCGTGCGCGGAGCAAATGCGTGACCATCCCGGACGTAGGCCCCTCTGCGTGCACTCCGCGTTGGTTGGGGGTCGGGAGGCTGATACTTCACGTGTCACGCGCGCGCGCGCGACATGCGGGGAAGGTTTTGAGTTTAAAGCAGACTCGCCCAAAGGCAACTCAGACTTTCATAGACTTTCAAGAAGTCACTTAGGTCGCACAAAGTCGCTTAGTACTGCACTGGCATGATGTGAAAGACAAGTCACCTTTCATCTCCTTTCATTTATCTGACATGTTGCAACGTCTCTTCCTCTCTTTATATCCTGAGCCTTCTTTCCGTGCATTCTTTTGATGAACATGTCTCAATCAAGTGCACCAAAATCAGCCTGTCCTCTGAAAAAAAGGAAACACACACACACACCTCATCGCACTCCATCTCGACACACCGCTTTGGCCCCAAATGTTGTCGCCTTCAAGATGATGATAATCCAAGCCATATGCAATGCACAGGCCACCAGCGCCAAGGACCAGGGTGCCCAGGAAGGGATGAATTGATCGCAGGCGCGCAAGCCCACTCGTCCATTGTTGTCTCGAAGCACGGCGAGATGCACCTCATCGGTCTGAGCTCAGCGAACGAATGGGACCGGACGATGGACCAATCATGTTGCCTGGAATGGAGAGGTCTGGTGATCTGAGAAAGGCCATTGAGGGGGTGTTGGTTGACTGTCAACTTGGGTCAGATGTCAAACACCTAGGACTCTGATGTTGCACATCAGTACGTCAGTACGTCCATGTTGTTCATCAATTGGTGAACTGATCCACAACTCGCCATGCTACTTCAGGTGGGAGTCCTCCAGTCGTACCTCCTCAGGTTCGGTATCACTGGACCATCCTGGCGTCCCCAGTCCCACCCCGGTTCGGTACGACTGGAGGCCCGACTGCTTCGGACTGGTCGACTCCGACCGGTCGACGAACACCTCGACGGAGTCGTGCCCCCCAAAAATCGAAGGCCCCGGGAAAAAAGAAGAAAAACAACACCATAAAACCCTATATGGATCCACTGCCACCGAACCTCAGGTTCGGTAAGACTGGACCCGAAGCACTGGCGCCTACATATCAATAGGGTAAAAAAAAAACAGATAAATAACCCCACGCCCCGGGCAACCAAAACACTTAGTACCCACAAGAGGGGGCCAACAGGTCACTGGTCTCCGAGTAGATCGGTCCCTCCGCCACAGCAGGCAGTCCCACCGCTCGGTGCGGACATCGAACCAAAGTAACCCTCCAAAAATACCTGGACATACCTGGACCATCCAATGGGCGCTCAGTAGTGGAGGCGACCCGTCCCCCCATGACTCCTTGGCTAACCCGTTGAACACTCGGACGGGTAGAACGCCCTCCAAGGTGCGGCGAGAGTCAACACCAAAGGCCCCAGAAAGATGGCGGTGTCGACCATCCTCCGTTGCCGCTTCACCACGAAGAGGTCCTAGCAGACGGTCCGACTTGGACGAGTAGGTCGACCCGAACCAGTGAGGTGGACCTGGTGGACCTGGTTGTTGGGTGAAACAAATGGTTGGTTTTCTGTCGGGGCAACAGGCCACACCTTTGAGCCTCCAACCGAAAAAAGCGATGGCCTCCATCCGAAAAAGGAAAAATATCGGTTGTTTGGTGCCAAAACACTAGATCATGACCAAAAACCCTCACGCCTCACGAGTTGTCTGCTGTCGAAACGACGATGGCATGCACTTTCGATGTTGCAAACAGTGTCAAAACAAGCAGATTAGCGATGCTTGTTAGCTTGAGCTTTCATGAAAGCCATGTATTTGAGTGTGGTAGACCGTGCTATGTCTATGTATATACTGAAATTCAGTTATACATTCCCTGAAATCATCATGGTTACGTAGGTTCGGCATGGTCAAGGAAATTTGGACATGAACATTCAACAAACCAAACAGCTGGTGTTTCACTCCCACCACGAAACCCGGGAGTTGCGCAACTGGAGTGGTTGCAGTGAGTTCCTTTGGGCACCGGAGTTTCACCCAAGCATCTCCAGACCGAACCCACCACACCGAACTCCGAACGAACACCGCGGTGGTCTCCCCGAAACGACCCAACATGGAAGGCCAAGGCCTCCACCTGGTAGGAATGAATCCATCCCACCAAGACCAGGCTCTCGGGGTCGTTCATGTGCGTCATGTTCCGTTCTCGACTCGACAGGGAGCCTTGATTAGCTTCAGGTATGGGGGTTTCGTATGGTGTTGTCTTTGTCGCCATCTGGAGGAAGACATTCATTCCGATCTCCTGCCCAGAAGTCCAGGTACCACCAAAGTTGTCCAGAAACTCCCACACTCAGGTCACCTATAGTTAGAAGGTTCTTCTAAAAATTCGACTGGACTCCCAGGGTCCAGCTTGTACAAAATGCAGCCAGCAAAGGCAGCCGTAGCGCTGGAAAGCCATCCAGTTGCCGCGTTCCTCGCCAGCTCATCGATCGAATCGATCACCGTTTGGGGGGTGTAAAGCACCAAAGAAGGTACCAACAAGCGCTTGGGATGAGCAAAGCGCAAGAGAGGGTTGTTCATAGGGCCGATGTAGATCAGGCAGGCAACGGGAAAGAGGTTCACGAACGGAGCAAGGCCGGATCTTGATGAAATATACATCATACCCAGACACGACCTGTCTGGGACTGCCATATATACCTTGACCCCCCTGGCACCACCCGATCGGCCTGATCGGCAGTCCTATGGCAGTCCCATGGGTCGTGTGTGGGATATATCATCATATGGTTGCATCGTCACTAAAAGCCTGTCTCAACCTTGTCGTGTTGAAAAGGCGTTCCGAGACCGAAGAAGCCGTTGTTTTCGCGGAAGGCGCAAGCGCCAGGCTACTCAGACCCCGTCACCCCCCGCAAGCCGTCGGTGTGTGGGAGGTGCCAGGTGAGTCTCAGGGACCTTGGGAGAGTCACGACAATCAGGAATCATACAGGAGTCAGTGCTACGTATCATGTCAAACATGGTTTCCATCATGTACACCACATTCTGCCAGGGCTATCCCTTTTATTCATCAGGACCCCTGAGGGTTATAGACACCACCATAAAGCCGAGATCCTGGTACCTGGACCCAGCTCAGCTCGGTGTAAGGGTCCGGCCAGCCGATCGCAAGGAGGCGCCAGCCGATCGCCTCCCCCCCTGTCTGTGGGGTGTCTCTTCTGCCACTTGTCTGTGTTGTCAGAATTCGCTGAGGCACTGAATCTAAGACTGAACAAGAGACCAAACACCTGGAAGAGGTCTGAAGATCCACGATTGACGGAGTCCGATGTGGGAAGTTTGAAGGGGCCAATGTTGGAGTGCGCAGAATTTCCGCATTTGTGTGGGCCATTGATTTAGCAGCCTGAATCCCAAAGAAGCATGGTTTTACTAAGGATTCTGCACTACAAAAAGAGGTCAACCCCTGTTGGTCTTTGAAGGCTATAGGGTACCACTTCCCAGACACAACCGGTGGGGCTGGAAGAAAAACAGCAAGCACCACTTTATGGTGGGTCAATATGCCAGTGCCAGAGAGGCCCCCCTATAGGTTTCTCTTTCTACCTAGCACTTCCTGTCTAGGTGCTCTGGAGTAGGAGACCTATAAGTCGGGTAGGGTAGTCTAGCCAGGACACCCAGACAGGATGATCCTGGTATTCTTTGGGTTCCAATCCCTGCTTCCAACCGGCGTGACTTGGGGTCAACTTGGATGAGATTCTATCGTGGAGGCAGGTGTTGGGGTGGGTCTGTTCATGATGTGTCATGTGCTTCCCTCAGGGAAAAAAAGGGAAAAGGAGCGCTTAGCTATAGTGCTTATTTCCATTCCAACACACATCCGGAGCTGCACTTGGTCCCTGCAACAAGCCCCTTCTCCACGAAGAAGTGCCTCCCAAAAAGCGGTTGAACAGTGCTTTTGTCTGGGAAACACTCCGGCAAAACATCTTGCCATTGGACGGCCATCCGATCATCCGCTCTGAGTGCTGAACCGCATCCGAGACTCTGCGAAGGCTCTGGCCATCCTTCTGTTTTGGTCATGAATAAGGCAATGGCATAGTATGCCCCCACCTTGCAGTCAACCAGATGTGGCTCAAAAACGCCACGTCCCACGTCCTACAGGATGTTCCTCGTCATGTTCGAGTTGACTGGAAGTTTGAGGGGGAATTTGGGAGCCATAATCAATCCCTAAGGCCTCCGGTCGTACCTTCTGAGAAGGTGGGACTGGGGTGGGTGCCAGGAGGGTCCAGTCCAGTCATACCTTCTGAAGAGGTGTAGGGAATAGTCACATAGCGCCGCAAGGCTGCGATGCGGTCAGGGCAGTCGAACTGAATCAGCACAGAATCCTGCCGATGGTATTCTTTAGCAGCCACCCAATTCATGAAACTGATCAGCAACTCTACCAACTCCTAGGATTGCACCAATAGCACCCTACTACGAACCTGCGCACACCTCCATAACCCGTTGGATTGTAAAACCTCTTTGGCCGTGTCTACAGCCGTTCTTGGGCCGTTCGACCAGGGATTTTGGTCGAACCTGCGCTCGTTCCTGCGCCCCTTCCTCCGACACGCCTACCCTCCTTCGGCGCGCTGACCCCCTCGCGCTCACCCCGCACGGGCACCAGCAGCAGCTGCTGTGCCGACACGGTCAAGCTAATGCGCGCGTAGGCGTCGAAGCAGGCGTAGCCGCGCTGCACCTGCGAACTCCGGGAACGGGACTGTGTAAGACCTGGCATCCTGCCCTTCACAGCGGATGAAGCGCAGAAATGTTGGGGATTCCCACAACCAATTGTCTTATAGGTATTTATCATAATACAAACATGTTCACGAAAGGTTTTAGACTACAGCACCAGGTCAACCATTTCTTTTCTAAGGTCCAAGGGAAATCAGTGAATCGACTTCTCTTGAACCAAGAGGAGCTGGGGCGGAGGTTTTCCTATACCTAGAGGTTCGGTGTCACAACTCTTCTTTGGGTGTAGAGCCAAAATGTGTGTCCAAGTCAAAGGGGAACATCAGGAGATGGGTGGTGTCAATGGTGCACCACATCACCATAGGCATTTGTTTAAGATCTCACAGACTCGCAGGGTTTTGTGAGGAGTTTGAAACGTGACAGTCAAAGTCACTCATTGGTTTGGTCGACCTGTGCGTCAACGAAACTGCTTCGACCATGACTGGCCGAAACCATACCTTTCTTCTCTATGTTGCACCAGGAAAAAACAACCTGGACCCCCCAAGCAAAAACACTGGCAGTTCAATGGGTTGCACAATTGGTTGTGGTGCGGACGGGTTCTTTTTCTTGGATCCGGATTTGCTTAAGGAGCTGGAAAAAACGAAGTCTTGGAAATATCGCCATGACAAGAGGATTTATCCAGTTCGGGGCAAAACCTGGTTTTACACGCACCATGATACACCGGTCGCCACGTAGGCGATGCCGCGACTAGTTCTGGGCCCGCCTTTCGAAGCATCCAGAAGTGGGAGTACTGCGCCGCGCTCTTCCCTGGGCCTCGCCGGTTGGGAAAGGGATTCGTGGCAATGCCTAGACAGGATTCGTGGCCTACCATTGAATGGGTTCCACAAACTTGTTTTACAAAGAACTTTACACCACAAGACCAGGACGACCTTTCTTTTAGTGGTCTTTGAGGTCTTTGAAGGCTGGGAGTTGGATGACCAATAAGTGGTTTTTGTCTAATCGGAGTTCACTAAAAGGACTCCAATAAGAAACAACAACCAGTCGAATGTTGTGGTTCAACGGTGGGTCTGTTCATTGAGATCTCTTTTCCCTGCAAAGGGAAATCACAAAGGAAAATGGTCTACTAGGTCCTACCAGGGGTCCCAGACTTAGGTTTAAGGGAAAACATGGGAAAACCTTCAGGAAACCCAAGTCGTTTTGTGGCTGAAACGTCTTCCAGCCTCGGCCAAACCAAAAGCACCAAGTCCAAAACCAACCAAAGACCTGCAAGTGACGTCCGCTACCTGACCAGCTGCCATAAGGGATCAGCTCTTCGGCGTCCGAAGTCCAGCTCCCACGCCGTCTTGTTGGATGAATCTCAAGCCGTTGACCTTCCGTTTCTTGTTGAGGGCAGTGCCCTTGGGCTCCCAAAACAGGTGACCCTGCAGGTGATCCACTGTACTGGGTGGGTTCCTCCCCTTCCTTTCCCTTCGACCGAGCTCCTCCATCAACCGTGGCCAGGAGTTGACTGATGTCATCTGTGGCATGGGCGCCCTCCTCCAGCCAGGTGGTCGCCTCCGCCTCCTCCTCGCATTTCGCCAACAAAGAGGGTGCCGTGCCCTAAGCTTCCAACCACTGATTAAATAGCCTAAAGCCTGAATCCCGAAAAAAACGTTATTTATACTGTGTTTTTCTGTAAGGGTGTTAACTACACTAGACGACTACAAAACCTGGTAAACCACGAATGTGTAGTGTTGGTCTTGGAAAGCTAGGGGTGGAACACCTGCTGCACCTCGGGAAGGGGTGACTGATCTTCAAGGGAGAAAAACTCAGTGACTGACCTTCACTGATCCTTTGTTTTAGGTTTGGGATGGTTTTGGGTTGCCACATCACCGGTGTATACATCTTCGATCTACTTTGGGTGGCCGGACAAGGATGGATGCTTTTTCCTATCAAATCCCTTGGATCTTCCCCCCTTGAGTCTTTCACCAGAAGGCCCATCTGCGTATCAAGAAAAGCATCGGGAAATGACACTCCCTCCTCAGTCACTTAAGCTCAAAACACGAGCAAATGTCCAACTTGATGTTGCCTTTTTCGCTCCAACGCGATGACCTGGCCCTGGAGATTTGGTTCCATCCACCCAAGTTGACACAAACGTGAAATCCCCGGTCGCGAGCCACCTGGCAACATCCCGTTGACGAGCATGATACTCTAACGCAACTGCATGCTGAGACACATAGCGACCAAGCCTCCGACAGAAATCATTCAAAACGGATTCAATTTCCTGATCAACGGAGCATACCATGAGAACAGCCCGAGCTAAACCAGTCATACCGGCTTTCCTGCCGCCAGCTTCGGGTGGGCGAACGCCTCATCTCTCCAATCAAGACGCAGCTTTTCCAAAAAGTCCACTATAGTTCAAAAACCCCATCGGTACGGACCTCCGCAAAGGCGCCATCCATCAAGGACAGGTACTTCTCAACGCTCCAGCAGCTCAAGTCCCTCTATTGGCTCAGCTCCTCCTCCCTTGTCTTGGCATGGGAGGACCCTGAACCAGTTCTTGTCCCCCTCAGATCTGCGGCCTAGATCTTCAGCCGCACTTGGGGCAACAGCAGTCCAGAGCTGGAAGACAAATGTAGAGGATTGCAAGGCAGAGGAGGACCAGAGCCGCGAGTCCCAAACTGGGAAGGTAGGTAGGCGTACTGTAGGACCCCGACCTCACATCCACTGACTGGAGGGTCCTCCAAACCAGATCCCACCAACCACTCACCCTATGGGGTCGTCGAACTGCGCTCCAGCACGGGCATCAGCCCTTGGCCTCTCGTTCGCCCAACCGAACCTCGCGATCGCTCGAACTCCGCGCGGTCTCCCGGCCGCGGCCGGTCTATTGGGGGTGCGAAGTCGGCGACGCCCAATCGCCCGGTCCTTGTGGACATCCGTCATCTGCGACCTGAGCGGATCGACTGGTGCTGACGATGAGGAACTGGGATGTCGCTGCTCCGTTCGGAAGCCGGTAAAGAGAATATTAATATATATATATATCCCTTAAAGGGGATTGACCCAGTTTGGGAAAAAAAAATCACCTGATCAGCAAAAGCATGTTAGTAAGTAATGAGAGCCTGCTTGGCATGCTTTCCTGGAGAGATCCAACAATTTTCCTCACTAAGACCATGCACCAGTATGTCTAGGGAAGTGAGCAGAGCAAAGCTAGATTGGAAGTCCAAGACCCTCTTTAACATGGTTGATCTGGTTTTAATTGTAGTGTAGAATCCTTAGTAAAACACTGGTTGCTCAGACGATTTAATTAAACAAAAAAAATGGTTCGACTATGTTCGACTTCTAGGGCTAGCTTGGTAGCGTGTCTTCCAAACAGCTGAGTTCGATCTTGTATCCCTCAGAGTCCAGTCATGACTCATTGTGGGCCCCTTGCTAGTGATGGCTTATGACTCCCAGGTGGGGTGGAGTCGAAGTTTGGGATAAGACAAGACCCTGAGAGTCCCGTCGACCAGAAACCTGATCGCGGGCAGCTTCCGAAATACTTCACTGAGCAGAAGAGAGTCTTTCGACTTGAAGAGGGGTATATGGTTTGAAGCAAACTCCATGTCACTTTGATATCCCAGACCATCCATGGGACTGGCATATTTATATACATCGAACCCTATGAAACCCACCCCAATTCATCCGTGAATATGCTAGTCCCGTCTGGGTAGGTCCGGGTCTGGTTGACCCCTTTGATCATCTTCAGCACCGGTTCGGACCCGTTTGACCCTGTGAAGCACCGGAACTCCGCCCGCTCTTGGGGCACCGGAAGTTGGACCCCCGGATCGCCGAATTCAGTTTCATCAGACCGCATCATCGGAGAAGACGGGGGAACTTCCAGGGGGTTCACGGAAAGCAAACACCCAAGCAAACGTCCAAGAAACTTCTCCGTGAACTTCCTTTTGCTTTGCGTCTCCTTCTCGCGGTCCGACACCCTGAACGAGGCGGTGCTAGTCCGTCGTTGGGCCCGGTCCAGTCGTGGTGGACGGAGACCGTTGGGACGGGCGAGGAGAGGAATCTCCAGACCATCCATGTAGCAGGGCACCCTAAGGGGTGTCCAATAAAAACCTTAGAGGTTAAGGGGTATCCATTACCCATCATTAACCACCCCTTTCGGGGCCCTTGGTATGGAATAGTTCCCAACCAGGACCATCCTGTCTGGACTGTAGTATACCCCACGTTACTGGGTTTTGAGCCAGGACACCCTGGCTGGGGATGGTCATGGTACATTTATATACCCCATTTATGAATGTTGGATAATGTTGGTATAACTAATATCCCTAGGGCTTCTGGCCCATCTCCTCAGGTAAGGTGGTTGGACCCCCCTGACACCCACCCCAGCCACCGAACCGAAACGGAGCTGGGCCAGGAGCCCTAGGGTATATTCCACACATGGATGGTCTGGGGAACCAACTTTCCGGTGGGGTGCTCGGCAGGATTCCTGTGCTCCGCCCTGTGGCGTGCTCGCCAGGCGTGCTCGGGCAGTCTAGGAACCAGGGCAAGAACGGTCTACCGTTGTAGTGGAACTGGAACCACCGGTGACCTACCTTACAGTAACAACCATTGGTTTAATAGGTTTATAATATATATATATATATAAAGACTCACAACGGCTTCTCGTCTTCTTTTTGCAGTGCAGACCTGG